TAAGGACTATTATGTTATTCATTATAGAAATCTACAACAATGTATAAAGGAAGGATATGTTCTTGAAAAAGTATATCGAATTCTAGGTTTCGAACAATTACCATAGTTGGAACTATACATTGCAATGAATACTCAACAACGTGCAAAAGCAAAGAATGCCTTTGAAAAAGATTTCTGAAAATTGATAAACAACTCAGTTTTCGGAAAAACTATAGAAGATGTTAGAAAATGAGTAAATATTAATTTAGTTAGGCAGGTAGGAAAAGAACATAAATTATGAAGACTAATTTCAGATCTAGCATTTGTTAGTTGAAAAATTTTCTATGAGGCAAACTTAGTAGCTGTGCATCGAAGACAAACTAATGTAAAACTAAATAAGCCAGAATATGTAAGGGCGTATATTCTTGATCTTTCTAAATACTTTATGTATAACTTCTAGTATAGTCATCTCAAAAAGAAATATGGGAATCGAGTAAGGCTTTTATATACAGATACGATTCTTTAATTATAGAAATTGAAACCAAAAATATTTATCAGAACATGATCAATAATTGTAATTTATACGATTTTAGCGACTATTTAGAAGATCATTGGCTAGTAAAAAATCTTCCAGAAGATCAGTGGATAATCAATGAAGAAGGTAAACATGTCTTAAAAAATACTAAAGTTATAGGTAAGTGGAAGGATGAAAATAGAGGAGATCGAGCTATTAGTTATGTGGGAGTTCGTGCAAAATGCTATAGTGTTGTGTGTGAAAATTCAGAAAAAAATATGATAAAAGCAAAAGGCCTGAAAAAATCATTTATCAAAAGAGAGTTTATTCATAAAATATTCGAGAACTATACTTTAGAAGGAAAAGAGGATCAACTACGAACTGCATAATTCCTCTAAAATTACAGATATCGAATGTATAGAATAAAGCAAACAAAGAGGAGCATTAACCCACTAGATACAAAATTGTGAATAGATCAAGATGGGATTACAACATACCTATATGGTGATTATAAAATTCTAGAAAAATAAATATATATAGCTTTGCTACATAATGCTACGTATCAATTTCTGACTTGACTACTTAATTTCAGAGAAATATATATCATATATAATTAGTAAACTAAAATAAAATTTTCAAATTAAATGATAAAAGATTACTTAATAAAATCCACATATTTGATATATATGATATAATATGCAAACATATAACCTACTTACACTTCTGAATACTATTGCTGAAATCTTCTATTAGAGTCCACCCCCTTCAGGTCTGCTTTGCAATAAATCTATCTGGAAATAATTAGACCTATTAGATATTTTTTTAGTAAAGTTATATATGCTAACCAACTCACTAACTGCACTTATTGCAGAGCAATGACCCTTCAGGTCTACTCTTAAGCATAATTTTTTATCCATGATTGCTAGTAAAGATCGAGCGATCCCCTATACTAAATAATTCATGAATGAACCCAATCACCAAATCCAAAATTAGTTTTCATAGTATCTAAATTTGGTTTGTTAATAACGAAGAGTATATTATATAACGAGATAAGTTAATAATAAATTGCAAATACTTATCTAACTAAAATTTGGGTAATTGTAATGATTTGGATATTATATCCGTTTGCTCTTATCTAGCAAATAATCTCAAACAATGTGAAAATAGTATATAGTCAGGTAAGAATAAAATGATAAAAAAATTTTTTTCTTCGTAAACTAGCTCAGTATATTCTATACTATGAGTCTTGAACCACTTAGTGAAAAAGAACTTACTAAAAAATACCCCAAACAATTAGAGTTATTAAAATCCTTAGAAATAAATATCTTAAAAAGTTATTCAAATTCTCTTGCAAACGATATTACAATACCAGAGCTAGAGAATTGTCATGAATGTAATGAAGAAATTTTTTTAAATCCGCCTAAAGCATTTACTATATTAGTATATGATCATACTCTCCATCACAACTACCTTGAAAAAAGTAACAGAGATAAGCAAAAAACTTGCCCCATTTGTTTCGTAAATAATGAAGAACCAGTGTCAGCTGAAGTTCAGAACATAGATATGACAGAGGCAGTAGAAGGTGAAAGTGAAGAAACCTCTAATCTAACAGGAGAGGTAAGTAAATTATCTGTAGACAATAGTAGAGCTATCCTCCAAAGTAAAATGAAATCCATGGAATCTGAAAAAATACAAGATTTAATAAAAGAACTGTCTATGCCTCGTAAACCAATTGATGATAATAATAGAGAAAATAAAACCAGGGAATCAAAACCAAAAACTTTACTCCAGTTATATTATAATGCAAGCCGAGCAGAAAAATGTGTAACCCAAACCTACCAAGAAGAAATTAGGTGTTGGTACCTGTTTGCTGAAAAATTTAAAGAAAAGGTTAAAGAAATTAAAAATAATAATAGTAGATTTAATGATCAACAAGCTAGAGGGTTAGTTTATGACAAAATCGCAACGAATATTCCAAGATTCACAAGAGAAAGCCTACGTAAAAAAACAGCAAAAACTAGAAATATTTATAAGTTGTTTGGTGAAAGTTATGACCCTGAAACCAAAACAGTAGTTAAGGGACTAGGGATTGAAAAAATAGAACGAATTCAATCATATAGTGCGGATTATATTTCAAAACTTAATGCTACACAAATTTATAGTATTATAAAGCATTTTAGCTAGCGCAGATCGCGTCCCCCAAGTTGACGCCAACGTGACATAAATATTTTTTATTAGTAAATTTATAATAAAGTTTATCGTTATACATACCAATAATTCAGTAATCGACAAAAAAATGCTTGTATATAGACATTCAGTCGGATCTTGATCTAAGGTTTATGCATGTGAGACAGGTAGTACGTATAATAAAAAATTTTAGCCACGTATAGATTTTTTTTTCTGTTAATAAACAAATGAAAAAAAATTACTTTGAAAAGTGGCATATCTTTAGAGGGTGGAAGCACGGATGTAAGGTTTGCGACGAATACAATCATCAAAGTAGCGGATAGGATAAACGATGTGAATGTGATAATTTTTTAAGGAAAGAAGCGATAAGTGAAAGCTTCACTATTTATAATAGTTTCAAGTTCCTAACTCATCTATTGTATTCTCGAATAATTAAAATAAATTTCCGTCACGAGCTTACGTGACGATCAATGTTGTAATGATAGTTTAAGAATTCATGTAAACTTATTGTGACATCGATGTCACACCTCTTCAGGAATAAATAGTTTTCCGGAAAAATACAATATCGGTATTGTCATTTTATCGTGTAACAATACGTGACCTGTTGTACGACAATCTGATTGTTTG